ACGGATCATAATTGAATGCTGCGTCATTAAAACCGACCAATTGTTTAGTTGAAAATTGTGTCGACGTTCAGCTTGAAGCTGTGCATTTGCATCTCTTCGCACCTGTGTATGTTCTGGTGTTTCAGATGCCCTTATAGTAGCTTGACGTTCAGCTTGCTCAATGAGTCTGTGTTGAGTTTCATCAGGTGTTTCCGCGGCTCTTAAGGCGGCCTGACGTTCCGCTTATTCGAATAGCCTTTGCTGACTTTGAGCAGGTGTTTCAGTAGCTCTTAAAGTAGCTTGACGCTCTGCCTGTTCAAGACGCCTTTGCTGATTTTGAGCAGGTGTTTCAGTAGCTCTTAAAGTAGCTTGACGCTCTGCCTGTTCAACACGCCTTCGCTGACTTTTAGAAGGTATTTCAGAAGCTCTTAAAGTAGCTTGACGCTCTGCCTGTTCAAGACGCCTTTCCTGACTTTGAGAAGGTGTTTCGAAAGCGCTTAAAATAGCTTGACGCTCTGTCTGTTCAAAACGCCTTTGCTGACGTTGAGAAGGTGTCTCAGATGCTCTAAAAGCAGCCTGACGCTCTGCTTGTTCTTGCCTTCTCAGTTGAGCATCTTCTAAAGATTCTAGCGATCGAGCTAATCATTTCGCTTGTCTTTGAGAAGATACTCTTGAAAGGCTGGACTTAAGTTTGCGAGGCATTATGAAGTAACAAAAAATCTATTTATAAAAAACGTTAAAATACCTAAAAGGAATAAATATTCCTTTTAAATATTTTTTAAAATCAAAATAACAAAACCAATTCAAGACACAACACAAATTCGAAAACGATAGCCAAAAAAAATCGAATCAACTTAAACCAAATCACAAAACAAATTGCAGAAAACCGAAATTGCAACAACAAGAATATATATATATATACCCAACTAGCTTGCCGGGCAGACGTTTTTCTGCTCTTTTCAACGACCCTTTGTCATGTCCAATTAAAAATCCTTAAATTCGCAAAAAAAATTGTGGGTCACTCATGGGCAAAAAAATTATCCTATCTCTCAAGTTGGACCAAACTACATACGGTGTGCAAATTTGATTAAAATCAGTTAAATAGTTTAGGAGTCCATCGCGGACAAACAACGTGAAACGTTTTTTATATATATTAAGAATATATGTTAGGATATGAAATACTCTATCGTCTAGTGCAATAAAAAAACTGTTATCCTATGAAAATTTATTTATAATCTACGTTCGTTTCAAATCAAATCAAATTCATTTATTTGCATAATACAGGTATAAGAGTTGTTACAAAAAATTAGATTATGTACACTGTATTAACTGTACCTGCCTATTGTATGTACCTTATGAGGTGTGCAAATACTCTACAATATAGTCTATGCATTACTAATTCAGTAATGGCGATTTGAAATAGAATTAAGAATATGAAGAAAAAATAATAATAAAATATTGTTAATAGTTGAGTCTATAGCGCTAATTGTTGTCATATTAAATACCTTGATATTATATAAACTCGAAATTAAATATTTTTGATAATACGAACAATCAAATACAAAATGTTGTCATACAAAATTAAAAGTTAAATTATAATTTAATATACTAATCTCATTAAATTGTTACAATGTGTCACATATATTAGGTAAATGTATAAATTACTATTATCCAATTATAATTAAATTCAAATTATTATTATTAAGTTACAATTAAATTAAAACTATTGCTATTAAATTATAATACTTTTATCCTGTAGGTACTCTTTGATATTATAATAACGTTTATTAATGATTTCTTATATTTACGCGAACACTATACATGATTAAATATTTTTAAAATAAACGCGACAAAATCCGTAAAAGTAGTTTTAATCATACATATACTATACATGAGTATAGTGTTCGCGTAAATATAAGAAATCATTATGTAAACCAGTACGGACTGGAAATAGCAAATAACATAAATAAACGCGATAAAATCCGTAAAAGTAGTTTTAACATTTATTAATCAAAAATTTGTGTAATATCGTCTTAAATCGTGTGATAGGCAACTTTCTGATATCATCTGGCAGTTTGTTGTGAATCAGTGATGCCATACAAAGAATACTTTTATTGAGTAGTGCTGTCCATCTCCATACGGTATTTCTATGTCTAATCTTTTTTTGTCGCATTACTGTCTATAGTAGCTTTTAAAAGTAGTCTTGTAAAAATTTGGAATTGATTTCACAAATAGATTGTATTTCGTAGATATACATACTTGTAGTTTTTAACGTAGTTGTAGTTGCTAACTTTTGGTATTATTCAGATGGCACATTGCTCTGATGCATTTCTTTTGAGCTTTGAATGCAGATTCTTTATTTACTGAGTTGCCCCAAAATATTACACCATATCTTAGGATAGGTGCAACAAGTCCGTGGAAGGCTAATAAAACGGCTTCTTTATTGACAATCTTGGAGAGTTTGTAAAGAGCAAACAAGGATTGATTAACTTTTTTGCAGACATTATCTAGATGTGTTTTCCATGATAGTCAATATTAATTCCTAGAAATTTTGTATTTGTCACGGGATGTAGTGTATTGCCTATAGGACAGGATATAAAGACATTAAAACTGTCAACGATCAGGAATACACAACTTATAGAGAAGCATGTGAAGCTCTGCATCTTTTAGAAAATGATAATCACTGGGATGAAACCATGGAGGGGGCTGTGCAGTGCCAGTCACAAGCCAAAATTAAGGATCTTTATGCAACTCTCATATCATCTTGCGGGCTATCTAATGCAAATGAATTGTGGGACAAATATAAAGACTACACGGCGGAAGATATTTTGCGAAGGTTACAGTAGACACACGCGAACATGACATACAATGAACACATTTATAATGAAGCACTTGGAAAAATTTAAGATAAAGTAATGGCAATGGAAGGAAAAGAATTTTTACCCCGCTTGCTTCCCGAAAAAAAACGAAATTAAATTTATTATTAGCGCAAGTACGGGAAGATAAAAACATTGCTGTGGCCGTAGCTTCCTCCAGTATAGCCGCCACGCTGCTAAGCGGGGGCCGCACTGCATATTCTGTCTTAAAACTCCCTCTAAATCTATCCCAGGCAGAATCGCCAATCTGCAACTTTAGCAAAAATAGTACACGTGGTATAATGCTACGACAATGAAAACTTTTAGTGTGGGACGAAATTAAAATGTCGCATAAAAAGCTGTCGAAGCACTAAATCAAATGCTCCAGGATTTGCGCAGCAATACCAATGTAATGGCAGGAATGGTGATTTTACTGGCTGGTGAATTTCGCCAAACTTTACCTGTCATCCAAAAGGGCACACCTACAGATGAAATTAAAGAATGCCTAAGTCGTCTATTTTAGAGAACAAGGTGACAATTCAGTTTAACTACGAATATGAGAGTGCATTTGTATAATGATATCAATGCTGGAAACTATGCTGACACAATATTAAAAATTGGCGATGGGCGGTTGGAAACGGATGCTGAGGGCTGCGTTAAATTGACGACAGATTTTCGTAATTTAGTACAGAGTCATTCCGAATTAATTGCGAGCGTTTATCCAGATTTAACGAACAACATGCATGAAGCCAAATGGTTATGTGAAAGGGCGATTCTTGCACCAAAAAATTAGAGCGTTAACAAAATAAATTCAGATATATTAAGTGAAGTAGCAGGAGAAATAACAGAGTATTTGTCAGTAGACACAGTTATGGACACAAAACAGAGCACTTCATATCCCGTAGATTTTCTAAATTCTCTAGAGTTGTCAGGTGTGCCTTCACATAAGCTTCAATTAAAATTTGTCGTCCCAGTCATGCTAATGCGAAATTTAGATGCTCCTTGGTTATGTAACGGGACAAGGCTGCGTGTGACACATCTTGGACGGAACATAATCGGTGCTACAATTTTGACAGGTGTAGGAAAAGGTGAAAATATTATTATACAACGGATCCCTATAATTCCCACAGATCTTCCTTTTCAATTCAAAAGGTTGCAGTTCCCTATTAAGCTCAGTTTTGCAATGACAATTAATAAAGCGCAAGGGCAAACGTTACAGGTAGCGGGGGTCAACTTAGAAAAACCGTGCTTCTCTCATGGTCAGCTGTATGTAGCATGTTCGCGTGTGTCAAATGCCCAGAATCTCCACATTCTTTCCCCCGAATGGAAAAACATATAACATTGTGTACAGTGGCGTCTTAAAATAGTGTTCAGTTAGTTTTTTTTTTCCAAAATTCCCACAATCAATTAATTAGAATTCCCACAGATCTTCCCTTTCAATTCAAAATTTCCTATTTAGCTCAGTTTCTTTTCAATTCCAAATGCTGCACCTCTGACGGACCTATTAAGCTCAGTTTCCTTTTAACTCAAAAGGCTGCATCTCTGACGGATCTTTTATTTGGCTCAGTTTCCTTTCAATTCAGAAAACTGCATCTCTGACGAATCAATTTAGCTCAGTTTCTTTTCAAAAGTCTGCATCCCTGACGGATAATTATGCTCAGTTTCCTTTAATTAACAAAAATTTCCCATTTCCATTTGGAATAAACAGTCCATTTTTATGTTTTCCTATACGCTGCGTTTCAAAACATTTAAATAGGCTGACGAATAAATTTTGCTCAGTTTCCCAGTGACCATGCGGGCGAAGCCGCGGGTAACAGCTAGTCTTAAATAATTGGACGTATTCTTATTCTTTTTCTAACGCTATCGACTGTGCAGTAGATGTCGTATTGTTAGAAAATCTTCTAAACGAAAAGACGTTAATTATCCGTTCACTATCACTAATAATGATTATATATAAAAATAAAAAGGAAATTGATAAAATACATTATTTTTGATGTAGATTCGCACGTTTCTTGTTAATGGTTTTATCTGACTAATACTTGAACTACCAAAAGAGTTCACAACAAGATCGAGATTAGTAAATCACTTAATAAATTTTTGGTCGCCATAGAGTTTACACATATCATATTGTGGGTTGAAAAAAAACGTAATTTTTTAATATATATAATGAGAGCGTTTTTGTATATTTTTGTGTTTATTATTACCAACGTTAATAGTAACCAGTAAGTAACCTACTTTTTATACTTATTTGATTTTCTTTTTAATTTTCTTAGCCAGCGCTTAACTACAATCCCAACTGATGGTAACTGGTGGTGAAGCCTAAGATGGTGAAGCGCACTGACATAACAAAAGCCTATTCACTCCTGCCTTGAAGACACCGACATTGTAATCGGATGGAAAGACTGGACAATGGTGGCAACTTATTCCACTGCTTGGCTGTACGCATAACGAACGATGTAGGAAACAGGTTCGAATGCGTGGTAAGTCAACAACAAAAGGGTGGAGACTGGCCGAACGTTTGGTTGTTCGATGGTGGAAGGGAGAGGAAGGCATTAAATTATGCAATTCCTACGCACACTCCCCAAAATGCTTCCTGTTTCCGTTCGATACAAATAAAATAGTTAAACGTTTTGTTATTTCCTTACTTATTAAAATAAAACAAGTTGTATTTGTATATATTATTTATTTTTATATAAATTGCGATTAGTCCCGTCTTAGATTAGTCTTCGTCTTAGATTAGTCCCCGTCTTAGATTAGTCCTCATCTTAGATTAGTCCCCGTCTTAGATTCGCAATTGGACCCGGTAGGTGGCTCTGTTCTTGAGATCTAGAAATCAACCGTACGAAGCCGGGGCGGATCACTAGTAGATGTGTATAATTAACGAAGTGTTTTTCTTAATTCCGTGAATTCTGAAAGTGGAACAGCTGTGTGTTATTTCGATGATCGAAAGCTGTTGTGGAATTGATATTTCGTAATGTAGTGGTCGCCAGACAAGCCTTACAGTTCCAAACCTGACATTAGAAAGTCAGATGAGCCAAGCAGTTTGACTACTCGAAAGCGTAAACACGATAACAACTTCTCAGTGGCTCACAAAACTTTTATCTTAGAGATACGTAGTACTTTGCATGACTGGAAAAAGGAAATTCAAGACGAAGTATCCGGAATTAAAAACAATCTGGACCTTGTATTAAAAACTGATCTTCAAAAATTAAATGTATCCTTTGTTGAAATAGGAATTAATAATAATAATAATTGTGTAACGTTGAGCGGGTAACTCTATCTCGAGCCAAAGGCGGTAGAGGACTGATAGGTATTCGTAGACTGTGTGCTAAGCAGATTCAGAGTCTTCGAAGTTATTTCCTTTCGCAAACGTCCTCTCCCCTGCATCAAGCAGTAATAAAGGCTGATGACCGTCTAACAACGCTAGATCTCCTTCATGCCAACAATTTCCCACCCTTAGAGACTGACGCCGAGTTCAAAGAAGCCCAACTCCAGCAATGGGCCTCGAAACCTCTTCACGGTCGATTCGCTAATGAACTGAGTCAACCACAAGTCTACATTGAAACGTCTAACAACTGGCTCAGACATGGTGAGATCTTTGCTGAAACTGAGGGATTCATGGTGGCGATTCAGGATCAGGTTGTGCCTACGAAAAATTATATTAAGTACATTGTCAAGACAGGTATCGAAGATGACCAGTGCCGACAGTGTCATCAAAAGCCAGAGACCATCCAGCACATAACTGGCGGCTGCCAGACTCTTACTGGAACCTAATACACCCAGCGCCACGACAACGTGGCAAAATTGTGCATCAAGAGCTGACAGTAAAACACGGTCTCCTTAAGGATACAGAACCGTACTGGAAATACAACCCGTCCCCGGTACTCGAGAATGATTCGGCCCTAATTTATTGGGACAGGTCAGTTTTAACTGACCAGACCGTTGAGCATAATCGACCGGACATAATATTAGTAGAAAAGGAGGAGAAGCGGACTTGGTTATTGGATATTGGCATACAAAACTCGCATAATGTGCAGAAGTACAGCACTGAAAAGTTGATTAAGTACCAGCGGTTGGCTGAAGAAATCCGACAGTTAAGGCGACAGCAGCAAGTACTTATCGTCCCGCTGATTCTTTCTACCACCGGAGTTGTTCCTAAATCCCTTACTGACAATTTAGCTAAGCTGGGCATCTCAGCGAGGGTGAGGAACAAAATTCAAAAAGCCATAATTTTGGATACGACAGCAATAGTACGTCGCCACCTCACAATTAACAAGAGAGCGGGATCTTGCGATCAGCCGATGCCGCGTCTTAAAACCCTAAAAGGAGTGTTTAATGGAGTTAAATAATAATAATAATAATATTTATTTCAGATATACATATCAATACACATTTTTGTTAGTAATTTATATAAACTACGTTAGTAAAAAAAATACAATAATAAAATAAGAATAAAATAAATTATATCCATAGAAAGAGAGCAATCATTTTAGAAGCTTGAATGTCCCTCCCACATGCATTAGGATCCAATGCCTCTGAATGGGGCTCTCAAGCCTATCTTGAAATATCCTCAAGATACCATTTGAGCTCTTCCGTAGTCTACATAACATTGACGCAGTTCGCTTTCTTAAGGTGCCATAAAAATCATCAACACCTGTTTCAGCAAACATGCTTGAAGCACTACAGTGCTTAAGAAGGTCCATTAGCATCGTGAAGGCATTATTATACTGAATTCGAAACGCATTGTAGGTCCTCTGCGTGTAGCCACACCACAGGCTGCAGGTGTAAAATGTTTGACAGTACGCCTTGAAAAGGGTTAATTTTATGTCATCTGTACACCTAGCAAACCTGCGGGCAAGCATATTGCATCGAATCGCCAATGCGCGTCGCTCTCTCTGATATTCTATTTGTCAAACTAATCCTAGAAAAAAAGAGACCGTTGTTCGTGTTACTTGAGTCTAAGGTTAACTTTGCTGTTGCTTTACATACTATTATAGCTTTTACGTATTATCATTGATTTCATACTGTAGAATAATATTACGTCGGTGTTTTATGTTATCTATGTTAAACAAATATTTTATTATTATGTGTTGCGTATTTGCGAAGTGTAATGGTGTATGAGATTATATTTGTTACATAGTTATGCGGCGTAACATGAGTCCATTTCTGAAAATAGGTAGAAAAAAATACGTTAACAAATTATTATTTATTTCACACTGTGTAGCTTTATCTAAATTTATCTAAATTTTGATAAACGACTTGTGGGACCTTTTATGCAGAATAAATAAATTAACGGTTTATGGTCGGTTTATATGGTAATTCTTCTCCTGTACGAATAAGGACGAAAGTTCTTGACACTCCTTAACATTGCTGATAACAACTTTTGGATAGTTGGGTAATTTATTTCGTGTTTATTTAAAAGTCTTAAAAGTTTTTGTTAAAAGGTAATGTTATTTCAGTGAATGCCGGTATGAATGTTCTGAAACGTCGTTCCTCATCCATGTTTTTTCGTTCTGAGTAGTCTAGTAGATTCTGCTGACACTAGATGACCTAAAAATAACTGCTCTTTTTTATAAAGCACATTTTTAAGTATTGAATTACTTTTTCGAAATTGTTCAAAAATGTCAAAAATGTCTGGCGTCTATTACGACTTTGATGTTACGACCGAAAACAATGATGCGCGGTAACATAATATGAATCTTTTTGGCATCAAATCAGTCACTCTTGCCGAGATTTATTTTTAATTATGGGTACCATCTTGTACCTTGTGTGTTTTTATGTTCTTATTATCTTCTAAATGTATGTTTTGTGAGTGTATCGTTGCTAATAAAACCTATGTCAGTCTGTGTCTATGTCTATATCTATATTCTCCTACCCATTAGCTAATATAATTATAAACCTAACCTGCCTTGAAATGAACTAAAATGTTTAAAAACTCTTAATTTCAAATAAATTCATTCGAAATTATGTTGCCTCTTTTTGGTACAGATTGGTACATTAAGAATATAAGGTTGATACGGTAATTCCGGAATAAAAATTCCATGAGGCCTGGTCATTTATCTTATCTGCCAGTGATAAAAAAGTAGTTCGTAAAAAAACTTGCTTTATTTTAATTTTATATCGATAATATGACTGGGCAAAGACTTCAATTCTCAGATTGTTTAGCGCACTGCCCAAATGCGTGTTAGCGGATTTCACGTGTTTTCGAAATAATTTTAATTTCTCAGGTTTCCTTTTGATGTTTTCTTTTACCGCCGAGCACACTATAAAACAGAAGGTAATGAAGTTGCAAACAATAATTTAATTCGTGCCGGTGAAGATCTAACTCGATTTGCTCGCTTATTGAGCCTTCGTATATCCCTAGAGCAACCATGTCTCTTCTTTTATATTGATATCAATTATAAATTAAATTTAATGTAAATAACTTATTTAAATAAAATTTAATTTACAAATGATTTTTTATTTTAATAAAATAACTAAAAATGGTCCAATTATTGGACGAGCCATGTGCTTCACAATATTCATATGTTATATTAATCTATATATATATATATATATATATATATATATATATATATATATATATATATATATATATATATATATATATTTTGATGTCACAGGAAGACTGGAAATGGCGTAAAATAGCAGTTTAATACTACTGTGTTTCGTATGGTGAGTGTGGAGTACCGGAGATCACTTTTACTGGAAACGAGGCATTCCATCTCGGGTGATAACGCATCTGCATTTAGATTCTTAATTGAAGATAAATGTAGATGTCTATGGGCCACAGCAACCACTTATCATCAGATGGACTGTGTGCTCATTTGTCCCTTATTCTATAAAAAATAAGATGGGTAACAGCATGTTCTTGATAACAACTCAAAGTATTAAATACTGCGATTATCTTACGCTCATTGCACGTTACGATAGGAGCTAGAGCGCTGCACGAACGAGCCAAAGCATTATTTGCTTGGCGTTCGGCTTGGGCCGCATCCATCACTCTTATGTACTATGTACTTATGTACTCATACAAAGTATGCAACCGTTTTATCAATGTTTTGTTATGACGTTGACTGCCTGCCTTGCGTAGCAGTTATGGTAATCAGACAATCTATATGTAGGCTATGTTCAACAGGGCACTAAGTTCTAATGAATGAATTCAAAAATTGGAGTTATTTCTCAGATTTTTTTATAAGTAACTGGTGTATTGGTTTAACGTTAATAATCTACATGTAAATGAAAAAAAACTAAATGTATTAAATTTACAACACTGAATATTAAAAAAACACAATTGAAAACGCAATTTTTATTGTTTTGTTATTATAAGGAAAATGCTGCCGCCAATTTCATGTTGCAGTTTCCCTCTAACGTTTTAACAACACTAATGGGTATGCCTTTTCCTGTTCTTACAAATGGCGAACAGCAATGGGCGAACTATTTACGTGATAATTACCACGGCATAAGGAAAGGACGATTGCGTCAAAAGAAGTCTAAAGTGAAGTGTTTTTTATACATTTTCAGAAATAATGACAGAAAGACGAAGATAATCATAGATAACGATGCTGGTGGAGATGATGCCATGGCTATATTTCTTGCTTTATTATACGAAAAACACTTTGATGGGTAGGAAAAGTTTTTTTTTATTTTGATTTAATATTTCAATATCTTTATTTATATTGATCTTTACAAGTTTGATAAATAATTGTAAATCGTAAAGCAACCGAAGTTCTTACCTTTAGTTATATCAGAAGAAACTGCACGAGAATACAAATAGGTAATTGATAGGAATATTTTATATATTTAATATAATTGTAATATAATTTTGTGTTCTAACAAACATAACCTAATGAGCTTTTTCAGTATCAGAATATAACTTTTACTTCTACTGTTTTGAACGATTTAAAATTACAATAATTAAAATAATCAAGAGATCAAAAATAACCAAACCAGTGATCCAAGATGTCTGGAACTTTCTTCAATAATGCATTTGAAAAGTTTGAAAATATAGATCTACTGATATCTTATAAGCATTTTAGTTTTAAAAGTGCGGCTTATTCAAATTATAAGTAATAATTTAAAAAGATTTTATGACTTTAGGCCTACATTGGTTGGACTCACAACTGTAAATGGTAATACCATTGAAGACAACGTATGCATAAATAATCAAAAGATACTTAAAATTGCCAACAGACAAGACGTAAGTTTATATATTTACTTTACAAAATATTCTTTAAAAAAAAAGCTTTTATTAAAACAAAACGAACTTGTAATATAAATTATAAGATCGAATTTATTGTAGGACGAGAACCTCTTATTATTAGTGTTCTCAAGAATTACGTGAAAAATATTATAATTTGACAGCGGAAAGCGAAGTATCAATATCATCAATATAAAAGCTCTTCACGAGTCTACTGCCAAACATAGGCCACCCACAAGGAATGTCATAGATGCGATTCCGAGCCACATGCGATTCCGGTTGATGAAATGCAAAATTATCGAATTCCTCCATCTCTTACTTTTAAATAATAGTAATTTGATTTATTCACCATATTTAAAATTTGTATGGCCTTTATTTTATTATTGTTGGCTTGAATAGCACATTCATGGATTAACTTGAAATTGAACGTGTATTGGTGGTGAATAAATGACCACTATCCTTTATTATCCCGTGGGTGTCGTAAGAGGCGACAGCGGGAAACAAATCTAAACTAAATTTAAAAAAACTCAACCCGCTTGCCAAGCGTGGCAACTATGTCAAATATCCCCTCTATGAGGCAATCTATGGGGGAGGCCCACGTTCAGCAGGGGACTTTCATATATTGCAACGGCCCATCCGTTTTACGTTTAACATATTCAGTGAATTCATTTTTTTTTTCAATTATGGCGCATTAAAAACGCAATAGTGTTAATTTGTTACATTATTTGTCTTAATTTACGATCTCGTTGAAGATGATATGAACAACGTTTTAGGTGCCTTTGTATAGAGGATCTAATTCTTCACTGGTTATAACTCCAGTGTCTGTATACTTTTATGGCAAAGATGGGTTAGGAGATTGTGACTTATACTATGACGATTTGGAGCCAGCCAAAGAACAAAGTGCAGTTTCAGCTTTAATTGAACTTTCAAAAAAATATGAAGGTAACTTTATAACATATTGTCCACTATATACAGTTAGGATATAAACTTAATTTACTAAATATTTTAAGGAGCCTGTATTCAATTCATGACATATTAAAACTTTGTAACACTAAAAATTCGTAAATTAAATAAAAAAATTAGGTGCATCATCACCTAAGACGACGACGTTGGAAATAGGGAAGTAATATCAAACCAAAACCAAATCATCAGAACACTGATTGATACTTGAATATAGTTTGTACTTAGTACATACAAGAGACTTGTATGTAATTATATTGTTTTATTTTTATATAGTGAAAATATTAGGCTCCTAGTAGGATGTAAAAAATTCTCAATTGGCTACCCATTTTAATTTGAATATTCAAAATCTTGATTTTTTTGAATATTCAAACAACGGAAATTTGATTTAAATTTTATTCATAATAGTTAGTGGTGTTCATCTCTGCAAACTCCGACTACAAAATCCGAAATGATATGCGAGACTAATCCAAGTTATGACTGAAAAGGGATCGATATAATATCATAAATAGTAAAAGAATATTGATTCCGACCAAATATGACTCGTGAGATTCAAAAAAAAAATTACATTTCAATGAAAACGGCGGCTAAGGTGCTTTTTGTCCTTTGAGTCCGGTTGGGCTACTTGCTAGTTGTTTACAGGAACTTTTGACCTTTTTCCAGTCCATTTTTCATAACATAGTAGTAATCTTCTTCTATATTGAATAAAAATTGTTTCATTGTAAATAAATCGCAGAATATCATAATAACTGTTTTTTTTTTATAAAACTGAGGTGACAAATAAAATTACAGTCCACATTATGGTAAGCCGATGAACACCGCAGTCAACTTCACACAAGGGTGGCCACGCGCAAAATGCGACGACACGGACTTCTGAATGAATATATTATACCAATAAGATGGAATGCCATACAGCCTGTAATTATACTAGTACTTTTCACTCTTTAGACTAGAACATAGTAGTGCACGCACTGACATTTGGCGGCAGAAATAAAAAGGAAGAAAAGTTCTTCCAAGTAATTACCGGAATGGTCACTCCGAATTTCTGCTTCTTCGTTGATATGATTATATATAATTTTAATATTTTCAGGAAGTTTGACTGTTATAACATTAGGATCTTTAACAAACGTAGCCTTGGCGATTAAATTAGATCCTGGGTTTCTAAACAGACTTCAACAGCTATACGTGGCAGCTGGACATATATATAGTAAGTTCAGAGATATGCTTACTCTAGTACTTACGCTTTAATATTAAAAGTGACAAATCTACGACTTTATTTCACATATTGTGTCATGAAAATTTAATCGTATAGGCACTAAACTTAAGTTGTAACAGTTAAAAAGATTTTGGATTTTGGACTGCTGAATATACCACCGTAGTGCCTCAGGTGGGATTTTGCCATTATAGCCTCTCTTGACAGACGGGTTAACAACCGGAGTTGTTTTTATAATCCTGACTTGTTATCGAGAACATGCTGCTGTCCATCTCCATGTTCAGGTGGTTTTTCAGGTAATATTAGAATCAGAGAAGCTTTACTGTAGTTGAACTGTTGTTGTAAGTGAATACTGTAAGAAACTACTTTTAATTGCTACCTATTATTTTATTATATAACTTTCTTTACTTAAAATCGTTTCATGGATATAATGGTGGTTATTTTCATGAGTTTGTGGATCATATTGATTTTAACGAAATTTGAATACGTTTTTCGGTTAAATGACTGGTTGAATTTACGTTATTTTTCGATTAAGATAACTAAATATTACAGGCATACGAATCCATAAGCAAGCTAATCTCTATTCAGATTGTTCCACAAAACAACGCCAAGCCTGAATCTAAATATTAATCTTAAAGCTTAATCTTAAATAGTTGACAGAAAAATATAAAAAAAAATCTTTGCTATCTATATAAAAAAGCATTAATAAAATATCGAGAAAATCTACACTCTGTGACGGTCTTTCAACTCCTGTTGCTATAAGTGTTACCTTTTTTCAATATTCTTTTTTTATATAATTCTGAATAATGCTGCTGAAAACTGGTGTTTAAAATTGATAGCCAACTGCCCCAGTCCATAAGAGAATGTATTTATATCACAACCAAGTATTCAAAATCAATACTTTGCCCAGTTTTGAATGACATTACTGGAAAAAATGTAATTCAAGAGTTTGGCAAGTAACTTTAAAAGTTGGCGTATTTAATAAGAATTCAAAAATGGTATAACAATTGAAATATTTGTTAAATTATGATTTTTTTAAAGAAACACGACTGTAAATTAATTTTCCTTACCTGTCTTAAATTATTTTGTGTACCTCAAGGTTTTATTCAAGCCTATTACTTAAGAGCCTATACTAGCTCCAATTGCTTAGCATGATCTTCTGAATTCTTCATGATTATTTTAGAAATAAATATATGGTAAAGTTGAGGATTAAGGTTAAGTTATATGTTAGACGAAAACACGATTGCATAAAATTTTCTCGATGGAAAAAAATCCAAAGTAACCTCCAAACCAAACAATAAACCGCTGGTATTCACAAAATACTTTAAATTAGATCATGAAACATTGCATACTACAACGCAGGTCACAACTATGCAGCAGGTTTTATGTTTTTTATTATCATTTTAATATCATAAAAAAATAACCTATGTTATCGGTGTCTTGAAGTTTGTTCCCTGCCGCCCAACACCCCGCGCAGTCTCGTTTCGGCTTTCGAACGGGAGAGCTGTGTCGCTTGCGCTCAGAACACACATTACGCAACAGGACGACGTAAAATTAAAATGGGAAATAAACGTAATAAAAATAAGAAGCCCAAAAAAAAAAGGTTGGCCTAAAGAAACAGGCGAACATATAATAAACGTAATGAAGTTTCTATCTACCGGCTTATCTACTTACAGTATTGGAGATTACAAACATCTACGTAGACTATAGCATTCAACGCGCGGAGCAGTGGAGGCGAAATTAGAATTTGAGCTGAGGTTGTATAGGCTCTCAGTTGGCAAATTGTGAGCAAGACAGATAATGACGCTAACGTGACAAAGATGTAGAGAGTAATTTTACGTAATTTGGGCGAGACAGATAGTGACGCTGCTTTTACGCTATCATACACACACACGTTCAGTACATTATGCTCCTTCGCTTATTACGAATCTTTCTGTATTCGTTCATTTTGATTTCTTACTAACCACATTTGGCTTCGTTTATTGCACTTGATTGCTTGTGATTTTGATTTGGCCTGTTTAGTTTCTATTTAAAATGACCTCAGCTTTCCCGTATGCTATCGTTAATAGTGTGATTGTTTTGTGCCACCATATCTGTGTACACCAAACAAGAACATGCTAACATGGCAATACGGATGCAACGCTAGTGCTGCAGCCAGGCTTTATCGTGAGAGGTACCCAAATGCTGCTCGTATCCAGATCATCGACTTTTTTTAAATGTGCACCGTTTACTCTTCTCAGAGGGAACAGGGAAGATCCACGATTCCTTGAAAATTTTTTATGGTTGGATGAGTCCACATTTAAAAAAGATGGACACTTGAATCTGCATAACACTTACCCAAATTTGATGAGAGAAGATCGATCGCAGTATCGCTTTAAGATTAACCTTTGGAACGGTATGTTGAATGATAAATAATCGGTCCTTTTGAGCTGCCAGATATTTTGACTAGAGGATTTTATTTGGATTTCTTACAAAATCATTTGCCAAACTTTTTGGAGTACATGCCACTAAGTATCTAGAGGGACATGTGTCTACAATAAGATGGTTGCTCAGCGCACTACGCCCCCTCAGTGAGAGAATATCTCATTGAAGAATAGCCAAACGAATAGGTACATTCAGACATACCTATGTCTGGTACAATGTCGTGGCTAGCCCGTTCACCTGATTTAAATCTATTATATTTTTTAACTGGGGAGTAGTCAAGGAAAATGTTTATTTAAAATAAATTAAAAATGTATCTGAGCTACGGCAAAAACTAACTGAAGCGGCCGAATTTGTAAATAATGGTAGATTCGCACGTCTAATAACCTGATTCTTATTAAGCATATGACGAGCGTGCATTGCGAGTGATTTTAAATTAAGGCGTTTTGTTTGTTTAATTTAAGAAATGATTTGAGTTTTGTAAATTTTATTATTCAAATAATGGATGATTAATTTTTTAATTTAAAACTTTAAAAAAAAGAATGATAATTCTAATTTAAAATGAAATACACTGAGTCAAAATTACGATGGCTCGTGGTGATTTTGGACCACCTGAAAAGAGTATTTCTGTCTCGCTCATACTCGTCACTGGTTACCTCCATTTTACTCCATCTATAATCTTAAGTAACAGGCTTGGGTAAAGCCTTGGGGTTCACAAAAGTCATTTTAGACAGGTAAGGAAAATTAATTTACAACTGGGTTTCTTCAAAAAAATCCGTAATGTAACTAATAATCTTGCAAGTTTAATTGAATAATGATATAATTATAATTCTTATTAAAATGGCAACTTTTAAATTTACTTGCCAAACTCGTCTAGTACATTTTTTTCAGTACAGCCATTTAAACCTGGGCAAAGTATTAATTTTGAATACTTAATTGGGAAAATAAATTACTTTTGCTTCTGAACTGGAGCAGTTGGTGGTAAATTTTAAGCAACAGTTTTCAGAAGCGTTATTCAGAATTACATAATAAAAGAAAATTAAAAAAAAAGGTTAAAATTAATTCAATTTCTTAAATTTAAGACGCGTGACAATTAATCGACGTGAAAAATAAAAATGACTAAATTATGGTGAAAAAACTAAAGCTTTACAATGGATGTGGACTTGATGACTAAAGATTTCCAAGTTCCTATCAAGCCCTATGCAGAAAAATGCCTTAGATTTAATGGGTAGAGCTTGATAAATCTCCTCTCAGTAGGTGTTGTTATACTTCAGCGGCGGTTCCCATAGCTTTTAATCGCTTAACAATCGTATGACCTTTAAAATACTTACTAGATCATACAAAAAGTGTCGTGATTTATAGAATTCGAATGACAGTGTTCAATCTATTTACAAATTCTTTAATACACAAAAGGGTCATAAATTTATTTAATTTTTTTTTGAAAACATATTGCTTATAATATATTTATTCCAGGTGATGAAAACTCAATGCCCGAATTTAATGCGTTCACGGACGTTGAGGCATATCAAGTTGTAACTCAAAACGCAACTCCAGATAAATTGACCATCATTCCGTACTCCCAAGTAATGAGTTCTTTGAATTTCTCTCGGGTGAGTTATCTAAGCTGCATGAAAAACATATATATTTGATTATATATAACCCTTGCACGTTTGTTAGTCCCCATAAGTGCAAAAGAGACTAAATGGCAAATAGGTATCAGGAGAATTAAAATCCTCAACGCCTATTCCTCTTAAGTATAATTTACCAATATTTCGTCCAAATGCCATCTCCAGAACGCGGCACACTCTAGATATTAACACCCTGGAAATCGACATTTGAAGGTTTTAACACTCGACTTTACTAGACGGATTCGTTATATAAGTAAGAGTTACAAGCCATTAAAAAGACTAATTACCTGATGGTAAGTAGATCCTGTGGCCCTAAAAATTAACATTTCGGATAAAATTATTTCTACGGAATTAATTACGTTAAATTTAAATAGCTCTTTTTATCTTGGCGTCATTCATAAATTAATAATTGCAGATGTTTTGTCAACCATGAAGACTAAGAAGGAACGTCTTTGTACCTTGTTAATACGGTCACCGATTCTAATCCCTTACTACGTATATATAAAATATTTTACCTGTACCATGTTATTTTTATGAGCATCACCCTTACTTGGTTGACCTGGCAGCCAAAATACACTGCATCGTTGATCTTCCACGTAAAAATAAAACAAATACCCCAGACGAAAGTAACGTTATGCAGAATTTCCAAACATGATTTGTGCAAGCAATCCCAACCTAGTAATTAATTTCCTTTGAATTTTTTAATAGGTTTGGAGACAAGAAGTATTGGGAGCTATAGAAACAGAAGTAATGAGAGCACAAAATTTGTTTGAAACAATATCTCTGCAGGAGAGTGACCGTTGGCAATCCCTCGACCCGGCAGCTGTTGCCGTTGCATTAAAACCAGACTTAGTTAAAGAATATAAGTATTCGAAGAATAGTATTAAGACTTGCGGTAAGAAATATTATTTCTACATGCTTTATATTGCGTTAACCTCTATGTATCTAAGTATGTATGTTGTATATACGAAAATAGTGGAATTTTATAATTCAAGTTTATATCCATTTCCAATCAACGGTCCGAATTTATATATTTTATTTTGTAGGGTTGCAAGTGTAGAAATTAAAGGCCCCTTGGTAGTTATGTTGGTTTATTGCGTAGACTTTCAATTACATACATAATCATTATATTTTCAATCCTACTTGAGGACTTGAAGAGGACTGCGCGGCTATCGTCATCCAATGCCTCGCTAAATGAGACTAGGAAGTACTGCATAGCTATCGCTTCCTAGGTCGTATTGGTTGCATTGTTACAGTTTTATTTTTATTTGTTTAGAAAACTAAGGCTTATTTACAAAAATAATATGATTAAAAAAATGAAGACCATTCTATCTATCTAACAAGAGTGTGATAGAAGAGATATACGAGAATAGGTCGAATAGGACATTTTATGTATAATATACATTATCAGAAAGAAATGAAATTATTAGAAACTGAAAGAATAATTTGGAGAACGCTGGAATTAAATAAATCAATATCTACATTATAAATATGCGCTTCACTATTCAAATATCTGTATGATCGTTCAGATACAGATAAAAGTGTAGGTTTTCGTAAATAGGATGATGAGGTACGTATATCTATTTTACTCTGTAGTTCAAATTTTTGTACACAATTTTAAGGAGGAAAAAGAGATCTGAAAAGAGATGCAACTTCTCTTCGCAGTGCCAATGAGTCAAGCTGATCGGAAAGAGTTCGGTCACCGACGATTCGAACAGCTTTGCGCTGGATGCGATCAAGTGGAAGGAACTGGCACTGGGGAGCCCCAGCCGAGAGATGAGAAAAGTATTCTATATGCGGCCGCCTTGTGAAATACTGTCCCGCTCTGTTGAGCGGGCCAAGCTTTTAGAGGCCTCTCCCAAGTGACCACGAAACTGGAAGTCACTCGATATGTCGACGCCGAGGATTCCGATAATAGCAGGGACAACAAGGGGAGTGCCTTGAAACTGAGGAGATACGACTAAGGGGTTCTTTTTAGCGGTAAAAGCGCAAACTTGTGTCTTGTAGGGATTAAACTGGACTAGATTTGGTCGCCTCAGTCCGAGACTTTGTTCAACAAAGTCTCGACTTCTCGTATTCGGCGACGTTTTCCCGAGAAATATTGGCACGGCCGATGTATAAAGCATCACCAGTTGTCACCTGTCATCTGTATAGCAATTAATGTTACCGGTTTGCAACATGTCATTGATATGCATAAGAATTAAATGGTTAAACGAACTTACCTTAAGTGAAGTTCAACCATAATTATACGAAGCTCCTTGTCCTAGACATTCTTAACAATTGTAGTACGCCGCATTCCATGCCAGCATCACAATTTATCCAAGCTCGCTAAAAAAAAATTTTAAAGCAGTATATCTGGCAACACTGTATCAACCCTTCCGTCAATGCAACTTCATTATGTTTAAAGCAAGGAATTAGATGAGCAACCCTAACCCAGGGAGGGTTGGGCCGGGAGTACCGTCTAGGACAAGGAGCTTCGTATAATTATGGTTGAACTTCACTTAAGGTAAGTTCGTTTAACCATTTAATTATACTCCCTCCTTGTCCTAGACATTCTTAACAATTGTAGATGTTTGAAGACAGGGTTGCGAATTTATAATACCAATGAATGGAATTTTGCAATTTTCCTTATTTTATAAAAAGTGTTGAACATATTGCCTGTATAGTAAATTTAAATTAATAACATAAATAAATTATCGTTATTTCGTGACCTTTCCTTATACACATAAGGCCAGCTTGATTGCAGTAGAAGTGGCCCTGTGGAAGAATTATGACTGAAAAAAGAAAACAATCTGGAATATCTATTCCAGTTTAATTTTAACATCTTATAACTTACTTAAGAAATACTGTTCTAAGTGGGTTAAATTTAACACTTAATTTTATACGTGGTAGAGCCATGCTGCAGTTATATTAGTAGTATAGTTGTAGCACGAATGGGTCGGCTCGACCGGGGAAGGACCACGCTCTCACAGAATACCAGCGTGAAATAGTAGCTTAATGCTGCTGTATTTCGTATGGTGAGTGTAGAGAACCGGTGACCCTTTTTACTGGAAACGAGGCATTCCATCTTAGTCCTCACGGGTGACAACGCATCTGCATTTTGATTCGTAATCGAGGATAGATGTAGATGTCTATGGGCCACAGCAACCATTTACCATCAGGTGGACTGTGTGCTCGTTTGTCACCCTATCCTATAAAAGAAAAAAAGAAAAGAACACTATCTTGTGTTCTGTTTTCTATTAAAATATTCACAAGAAAGGCTCAACCCCTTCTCATTTATTTTTTCCCATGCAAACCCTGTTGAAGTGAAATTCTATCTATATCTTAACTATACATCTGAGCTCCCGTTTAAATAAATTTAATATTTGTTGAAGGACCATGTATGTATATTATAACCTATAACTCATCACTGCTAAGCTTGTTACTAGTTTTTGTAAATTTCTGTATTCTCAATATTTATTGCAATATTCTGTAGTTAATAATCTAAAAGTAACTTATTATTAAGTCTATTTTTATAATTCAAACCTAAGTAAAAGGCACAAAGGCCCAGGAAGGAATTTCATTACACTTACTACAATTTGGGTACGATAAGGAATTAATTATTTTATTATTTTATAATTTATAGTATTTGACATAGGAGAGTTCACTATAATTCTTAGTATGAATTTTAGAGTGAATCTTGGAGTGCCATATTTTACAAAATACTTCACTAATAGTAACCAATGATGTGTATGAGATGTCTATGAGATGACTGTAACATGACACAGTAGTATGATTATCTCTATATAGGCAGTGTTAATAATAATTTTTTTCTTGTTATTTTACTCAAAATAAATAATTAATTTTTCCACATTTACTGCTCATGTGAAAAAAAAACTACTTTATAGTTTATAGTGACAGCGCTTTAATGTTAATTCAAAAACTGTCTAACCTCAAAGTGTTAGCTCTAAAAGGTCTGAATAGTTAACCGTGTCTATCCTCTATGTGATAGCTGTAACGGTTTTAAGCCTGCAGTGATTTCTTCCGAGTCATAGTCCATCTTAATGTCTTCCTTCAAGTGGTAATGCTTTCCAATTCAAATCGGTCTAACCTCAAAGTGTTAGCTCTAAGATTTGAATAGTCAACTGTGTCTATCCTCTATGTGATAGCTCTAACAGTTTAAAGCCTGCAGTGATTTCTTCCGAGCCGTAGTCCCTCTTAATGTCTTCCTTCAAGTGATATTGCTTTCAATTCAAACCTGTCTAACCTCAAAGTGTTAGCTCTAAGATTTGAATAGTCAACTGTGTCTATCCTCTATGTGATAGCTCTAACAGTTTAAAGCCTGCAGTGATTTCTTCCGAGCCGTAGTCCATCTTAATGTCTTCCTTCAAGTGATATTGCTTTCAATTCAAACCTGTCTAACCTCAAAGTGTTAGCTCTAAGGTTTGAATAGTCAACCGTGTCTATCCTCTATGTGATAGCTCTAACGGTTTAAAGCCTGCAGTGATGTCTTCTGAGTCCTAGCCCATCTTAATATCTTTCCACTGATGATAGCATCTTATATGTGAATTAAGACCTGTCTACCTTCTAAGTCATAGCGGTAAGGTCTGAATAGTTAACCATGTCTATCCTCATAAATGACAGCTCTAATGCATAGCATTTTAAATAACTTATGGTAGATATTCTCTCAACAATTTTAAGTTTACAGTAATTACTTCTGGCTCTCTGCACCGCTTAATATCTACCAGTAGTATTTTTCGTTCTTATTTTATTATATATACATAAATCCATGTATATATTCTAAGTGACAGTTCTAACGGTCTGTATATAGCATCTATATAACTCCTGTTAGATATTTTTTCCAGCAGTTTTAATTCAATAGTGCTTTTGCATCCCTATCTCCTCAGTATTATACTTTTCCTATTTCTTCAATACTGTCCGAAACTACGTGCATGTCAAAAGTGGGAATAGTCTTGCCCAACTTTCAAATCATTGGTATGTTGGTATATTTTGCTACCTTGATGTCCGGTGATCATGTGGGGGTTCTCTTACGTTGACAATTTTTGAACTTCTTTTGTCAAACCCTTGTGAGACTTTCTAGTACTTTTACATCTATAATTTGTAACAAGTTTTTCATTATGTTATACTCATAATATTGAGCCCTTGTAATAAAACTATACCAATAATTATCTTTATTTGATTGCTTCTAAATCTCAGTACCGCAAAATGTTTTCTCATGTGAAAAAAAAAACAAAAACCTATGGTTTTTTGACTCATCGACATTAAGAGGAAATACATAAAAGAAGAATCGTCCCCCAATCTAATATAACTGCCATGGTTTCTGGGTCATGCCTACAGAACCCCATTGTTAAGTATATAATAATTTTATTATTTTTCGTTACTAATTTGATCAAGTTTTAGCTTTGACATTGCTTTATGATCTTGTTGAATAGACTTGAAAGACTTCCTCTGACTGTTTTTTTTTGTTTACTTGGCTCAATTTTGGATTGTATGTTAAATTTCCATATTTTTATTTAATTTAAAGTATTGAATCCTCAATAGTTAATGAGTAGAACCCTCTCTATCTTGTTAATATATGAAGCAGGATTTTTATCAACTCTGGGTAAAATTGTACAACGTAAGTATTATTTAGTTGTAGTAAGTTTACTATTCATTATAACTATATTGTTTTGCTCAAAGTTTTGTATTGTATTCTACCATTCCCAAAAATATAAGCATATACTACTTTAATATCGAATAATATCTATGTAATTTATTCGCAATGAAGGACTAAACCCAAATTTTGTCTCAATTGGTTTCTCTCCATCCAGTTGAGAAGTGTCAATTTATATTTCAAACGGTTTTATGCGTTTAATGTTTAATTTTCCACTGAATATATATTACATAACATTATAT